AGTCGTTATGCTATAAACGAAGTACAGCAGGGTCGCTGCTTCAACGTCACGCCAACTTCAGATCCATATTCAAACACACAGATTCTAAATGGAACAAGTTGAAGCATTTGTTTGAACAGTTAGCAGGAGGCAGGCACTTGCTTTCAAGCAGAACAGGGCAAACAAACTTAGAGGAGTGTTTACGTGTTCGGCGTAATGACGTACAACGTCCTCCACGACTTCTGTAGTCCTATTCAGCCACTTGGTAACAACCATCGTTTTTCAGACACGTCAACTCTTCAGAAATCACCAGCGGGGTCACTGCTGATGGATTTAATGTCCTAGAACAAAACGTGATCCGTCTCTTCAATGTGTCTCAACCACAGACCTTATTTACAGATATTTTCCAAAACCCTATGGAGAGATCCCATTGGCTCTGAGACCAGGGAACAGGAAGTGGTGAAATGCTGACTCACTTCCGGGTTTTAGGACGCGTCACTGTGGCACTCTATAGTATTGGGACATCTCTTTTAAACTCTCTTTCCAACAAACAAAACAAATCTCCATGCAGGAAAAAGTGCAGGAACCACCATTTTTGTTCCTTTTTCACAGTGAAGCAGTATTGAAGCCAGCAGTGTGGGCGTGTTGCCAGATCTGATAAAGATTTAACAGCGTGCATTTTATTTACATCAGCACATTCTCTGGCAGCAGAGCCAGGCCTGCTGTCAGACAATGTGACGGACATGAAGCTTCAGGGGCCGGACGCTCACATTCAACACTTTCACACTTTTAGAAAGAGCTTCTCTGCAGCTGCACGTAACATGTTTTGTGTTATAAATAAAGAAGAATGTCCCTTCACTTGAGTTTAGTTATAATAACGTGACCGTACAGACTGCAGCTTACTGATATATAGGACTTTTATTAGCTTCTGGAGTCTAAATAGATTCAGATAACACGCTGATACTTGAAGTCGTGAATGTGCAAAGCTGCTTCTGATTCCTCAGATATTTTTTTGGGGTGTAACAGAAGACAGATGTTAGGGATTGGTATGGCACTAAGAATAACTTCTCAGCAGGTGGTGAAATGAACTGTGGATTTGTCAGTCTGTCAGTTTTTGACTTTGAACTAAACCACGCTAGTCAGGTGATCCTAGCTCTTACACGTCGAATCATCAGCACAGTGAGAAACCACAAAATTAAAGAAACTAATAACAACCACAGGGGTTTTCATCACTGTGGATCTGATGAGAACATAGTTAAAGGGACACTTCACCACAAAAGAAACAGGATGATATTAGTGTTCCTTTATGCATAATACACATATTTAACTTCTCTCATTGCAAATTTTTCCTCCGTCAGTATCAGAAGTACTCCGGTGACTTTCTCTGTGTTTACAATGCAAACAGAAACCGCTAATAGCTGATTTAGCATGTTCTTTCATGGTGCAAATGGACCAATATGTAAACAAATACAGGCTCCATGGCAACATATGCAAACAGAAACATACTGAGCTGTGAGACGTATTCCCTAACACCCATCCTGGTGAAACAGTGTGTGTGACTGACCAGTGCACAGAGCAGATCCACAGCCTCCAGCACCAGCTCCTGGTGTCCGACCCGCGTCAGGCCCAGAGACAGCAGCTCCTGGTGGGACAGCCTCAGCAGCTTCTCCCCGTCCACCTGCTGTCGCTGGAGGGCCGGCATGTACTGCTGCAGGCTGTCGTCCAGACCTGGAGACACAGAGACACAACACAGTGAGAGGGGGCACCAAGCAGACATGTTGTTCAGAAATCTCCACACCATTTTATGAATCATTTTCTGTCAAAAGTCTTTACTGCACCACCGCTAAGCTAAAGGCGGCTAATGTTGGGCTATAAAGGAACTACAGCACGGTCACATGACTTCACGTCACCACCGCTAAGCTAAAGGCGGCTAATGTTGGGCTATAAAGGAACTACAGCACGGTCACATGACTTCACGTCACCACCGCTAAGCTAAAGGAGGCTAATGTTGGGCTATAAAGGAACTACAGCACGGTCACATGACTTCACGACGTCTCCACCGCTAAGCTAAAGGTGGCTAATGTTGGCCGTGATGACTTTTATGGCGCATTTCCACTACAGCGCGGAGCGCGGTTTAAGCGTGCCGTGCCCGGCCTGTTTTTGGTTGCGTTTCCAGTAGTATAGGCGTAGTTCCGGCTAGCGGGTACTTTTTCACAGTTTTCTGGCTCTCCAAAATCGACGTTCTTTCCGGGCCAACAACCGGGCTGAGTATGCTAAACTAGTGAGGGAATCGTTGGAAACTACAACAAAATGAACATATTTTACCGTGATTTAATTGTAATACACGTTTCAAAATGATGCCGAAGTAACAACATACTGATACCGGTTAGTAAAAACCATGAATTAATGCTTTGTCAAGTCTGCAGACAGACGGCAGGCGAAAAACCTTTTTCGTGTGTGTTTCGCGTGTTTTCTGAATGGAGATTGGCTAAGCTAACGCAGTATATGCTCCGACCGTCCACACTCACAACAACGGCCTACAGACATAAATAAAGCAGCGACTGTATTCACCATGACACAGGCAGTCTGTGGTTTGTACTTGTTTAACTTTTGTCTAGTTTCTGAACAGATATGAGGAGCTGTGAGCTCTGAGTGCTAACAGCTAACGGCTGATGTTGGTTTTGTGTTTCGCATTGAAGATGACGTCACGGCTCCGCCTACACTGCGTTACTATAGTTACTACCCCAGTTCCTAAACTGTAATGGAAACGCAGCATAAAGTGAGCCTGGCCTACCAAGGCCTAACTATACCGTACTAAGCCGTGCGAGGCCCTGCAGTGGAAATGCGCCATTAGTCGTCTCATTTATGGCGCATTTCCACTACACGGCCTCGCTCGGCCTCGCTCGGTATGGCTAGGCCTCGTTATGCCTTGTTAGGACTGGCTCACTTTATGCTGCACTTCCATTACAGTTTAGGAACTGGGGTAGTATCTATAGTAACGCAGTGTAGGCGGAGCCGTGACGTCATCTTCAATGAGAACCCCAGAAAAACAACACAGCCGTTAGCTGTTAGCACTCAGAGCTCACAGCTCCTCATATCTGTTCAGAAACTAGACAAAAGTTAAACAAGTACAAACCACAGACTGCCTGTGTCATGGTGAATACAGTCGCTGCTTTATTTATGTCTGTATAGGCCGTTGTTGTGAGTGTGGACGGTCGGAGCATATATTGCGTTAGCTTAGCCGATCTCCATTTAGACAACGCGCATTTTAAAAGGTTTTTCTCCTGCCGTCTGTCTGCAGACTTGTCAAAGCATTAATTCATGGTTTTTACTAACCGGTATCAGTATGTTGTTACTTCGGCATCATTTTGAAACGTGTATTACAATTAAATCACGGTCAAATATGTTCATCTTGTTGTAGTTGTAGCCTCCTTGCCAGCGATTCTCTCTCTAGTTTAGCAAATTCAGCCCGACTCAGCCCTGTTTGTTGGCCCCGATAGAACCACGATTTTGTCGGGCCAGAAAAAAGGTGAAAAAGTGGCCCCGGGCCGGAACTAGGCCTAGTGGAAACGCAACCAAAAACGGGCATGGCACGACACGGCACGCTTAAACCGCGCTCCGCGCCATGGTGGAAATGCGCCATTAGACACTTGTTAAGTTCACCAGTGGGGTATTACTGATATATTTTATGTCGTAGAGTTAACATCTCTTCAGCTTGTGTTAACCACAGACCTTATTTCAGGCTAACAACCAAAAACACAATAAAAAAAAACTTCCAGACGAGGATAGAGGAAGTGCAAAAATTGGGACTAATTTCAGGGTTTTAGGACTCATTCCTGCACCACTCTATTGGAGGTTTGAAACAAAAATCATATTTACAGGCCACGGGGAGGATGTGTCTGTGCAATGGGAGGGAGCATAGACGATACCGGGACAGAGTTTCCTGACTGAGTTTCAGTGAAAGTCGTCTCTGTTATGATCCATTCAAGTTTGACAGCAAACACAACTGCTAAGTCAACACGGATCCATCGCAGCTCACACCACGCTGCCACCTCACCACACTCTGCTCAAGACATCTGCACATAGCAGGCCGCCGGTTTGATGCCGCACATTCATCACCGTCCACTGTACTACGCTGCTTTCATTCTGTCCAAATATTATAGCAAACTCCGTAACTATAATCTTTATCGTAAGAAAAACATAATATAGTTTACAAAAACAGTAAAACTGACCAAAATTAAATACTGAATTGCACGTCTGTGGTTGAAAATGTTCATATAAGTCTAGAGTCAAAACTATACATCATTTTTAAAAGCAAACTTTCAAAAAAGATGACAAAGAGGATGGGATCTGGACCCTTCTGGATCCCGTGATCTCATAAGATCGAGACACCGACAGCACCAGCGGCGCCACTTTGTGCCCGACCCTGAACTTTGACCCCTGACCCCTCTGTGAAGGCAGCAGCGGGAGACCACATAAAAGAGTTCTCACACCGGATCAACAGAGGAGCTTCTGCCTCATGATTCTGCTGACCCACACCCGTACGCAGACTCATGTTCACCTCCGGGAGTCTTAAAATCAAAATAACATGGTGCACCTTTTCTCCCCAATTGTAGAGGTCACATTGTTGATATAAAGAATTTACCTATCCAACTAGAACTATGATTAATTTATTTCTGACATATTTAAGGTAAATGATTTTTCAGTGATTCTCAAATTAATGTTTTAAAGCTTATTTAAACTCAGGCTGTGGAAACTAATGATTCTTGGATGAAAATATAAAAACAATTGCAGTCATTATTTTACTTTTACTTCAAATTATTTAAGGTTTAGAGAAACTGTAAGGAGATTAGGTTTAGACACCTCCAAAGCTTTACAGTTAGAATCATATTGAATGAATCACCACGTAATCAGCTAACATGTGTACACTTTTAACTGTAAGGCTTGGTGTTTGTCTCCTAAACTAAAAATACTTGTCAGTTTGAGAAAGCTTTTGCACCGAGCGTCCACCAAATGGTCGGCGTTATAAAGCTGTAAGCACCGAACAAAATGCCTGAGCTGGTGTGAACAGGAGGAGAAAACAACTGGCCCTGCATGAGGCCATTAAAGAAACTCCAGGCAGGAGGACAGATGGCCGACTCCACATTCCTCTGCCTCTAACCGCTGATGGGACACCTCTGCTGTCACACCTCTGACACCCACAATGCACTGCGGGAGACTCATCACAACGAAGAGCAAAGGCATTTCAATAAAGTTCACACCGGGCAGGGTTACAAGAACAAGAACTAATTTTGAGACCTTGAAATTAAGAAATCATCATTTTGAATGCTGAAATGAAATGCTTAATACACTGAATGCACTCCTGCAAAAAAATCAAGATGGCATGACAACTGTCGAATCAGAGGAGAACAAATGACTACGTAATAATACTAGCAGCTGTGAGCTACACTACAGATCTCCTGCTTTAGTCATTTGTTTTTTCTGCTCCAGTTGAGCTGCTACAAAAAAAAACAGTGACAGAAAACATGCCGTGCTCCTACATGTTCCCGGAATAATGCCAAGATGCAAATCCCCATGACATCCCGAAACCTCCTCAGATAAATGATCACGACATCCAGACATAATTCAAATAACCCCTCCTTCATGTTGGCCGGCGGCTGGTGAGAGTGTGTGGTCACCAGGAATGTGTTGGTGACAGCCGGGGTCACGTTCCTGACAGCCGAGGAGGCCGATAATCTCTCCGGCTGCGTGTCACGCGACAGTCAAATCAGCTGCTAATGAAAACATGACAAAGAGAAGCCAGCCTCCTGCAGAGAGGAAACCTGAAGCTGCACATATGAGCTTCTGTTGGGCACTTTCATGGAAGTCCAAGTCAACTGGGATAGAACTGATGGTTTCAGGTCCAGATTTACCAGCCTAACTGTTTGCTCGAGTCATTGGGGTTTGTCTTATTTCTTATAAACTAAAAATAAAGTACACTGAGCCCCAGACATTCAGATTTACAGTAGCTTCAGACTTATGAGAGTAAATACATGCATTTATCTTCTTACTAACACTTCTGCTGCTTCTAATTTACAGATATTTTCTCTACATTCATTTCACATGTTGAATATTTTCTATTAAACCAGACCGCATGAGGGATAACAAGAGCCTGGCCTGAAGAGAAATGTCTTGAGGCTTTAATAATGAGAAGATAATGGTACATTTACGTGAGACTGGACATTTAAGACATCATAACCACTGGTAAAATGTGTGTAAGACGTTGATTTACATTGTGGAATAACCTGAAATAAAAACACTTCCCAACACCGGCAAATTGCCAACATCCAGATCTGGATCCAATGTTCCCGTGAGAAATAAAACGTCACTGATTTATGTGACAGTTGAGACATTTTTGTCATTGTGCACATTGCAATCGGGTTTGGCACTCGACCCAAAACCTTTGGAGAACGTCTTCAGGCTGACGAAGAAGCCGGATCAGCGCTCTGAAATCCTGCTGAGCCGAGCTTGTGGCTACGGAAATGCTTCTCAAGTAGCACGATGAATCAAACACAGAAAAGTGATTACGGGAACGCTGCAAAAACTACTGACTGGTTATGTGACGGTTTGAATAAAGTTTAATTAGAAAATGCCACAGTGTATATTTAAAAATGGTTGTCTCTGGCCATATTGAGTCTCAGTTTTGACACAAGAACCACAGATGTTCCAGTAATGTGAAAACTAATTTC